AGTGTAATCTAAAAATAATTAGGTTATGCTAAACAATTATTTTGATTTCCAATGTTTTTATTAGTCTAAATTTATAAAATAATTACTTACAGCTATCAGTAAAAAATTGGGAAGACATTCCATAAAATTGCTCTTCATATTCTAATCGTTTTCTTGTGTCTTCATCCATTTTAAAGGAAAAAAATTATAAAAATAATCAAGCACAATAGCAAAATTTACTCTACTTCGTTATTATTTTAACCGCCAAATACTACTTGAGTCAATTGATAGCTTCTTTTTTTAACAATTTATTTTTAATTTCTTTTAACTTTTCACATAATTATTATTTTAAAAAAGGCAAAATATTTTAATTTGATGTTTTTTTTTTTAATAAAAAATTTTTTATATTTTCAATAATTCGCAAAAGCAAAAAATTACTTTCGCGAATCCATTAATGTCAAAGTTAGGAGTTGAGAAATTTAAGTTTAGTATAAAAAATTATTTATTATGAATTCCGAAAGAAAAAAAAAAGTGTGTATAGTTGTTTTGGGGGATATTGGAAGAAGTCCACGAATGCAATATCACGGATTATCTTTTGCAAGAGAAAAATATAATGTAACATTCGTTGGATACTCAGGTTCAACTCCTCTTAAGTTGTTAAGAGATAAGAAAAATGTTAATTTTAAATATTTATATCCCTGTCCCAATTTTAAGCAATGTAAAACGATTTTTATTATAATTTTAAATCCTTTTTGGTACCTTAAATTTTAAATTTTTAAATTTTTTATTTTATTTTATTTTTTAGATTTACCCAATGTACTAGCTTACATTTTTAAAGTAATATGGCAAATTGTGACACTTTTTTATGCATTATTGACAATTGATGTGTCAGACTTCCTTCTAATTCAAAATCCACCTGCATTACCAGGCATTGGTGTATGTTTTCTTTACTGCAAATTATTCAAAGTAAAATTAGTGATTGACTGGCACAATTATGCATATTCAATATTAGCATTATCGGTGGGTGATAAACACAAATTAGTTAAAATTTCAAAATGGTATGAGTTTTTCATTGGCTCTAAGTCAGAAAATAATTTATGTGTAACACAAGCAATGCGAAAAGACTTAATGGATAATCATAAAATAAGTGCAATTACTTTTTACGATTGCCCACCTGATTTTTTTCATTGTACTACTGTCGAAGAAAAACATAATTTGTTTCTATCATTAGGTTTAAAGTACAAAATATTTTTAAATAATTGTGATTCAAATGAAACTGTTTTCACAAAAGTAAATGCCGGCAATAAAGTAGTTCTTAAGGATGACAGGCCTGCATTTCTTATATCAAGCACTAGCTGGACAGAAGATGAGGATTTTTCAATTTTATTAAGTGCCTTAGAAAGTATGTTGCAAATATTTATCGTTAAAGACGTTTAAATATTTTAGTTTATTTTTAATTTTATTTTTTTTGTTCTCAGTGTATGAAGAATCAAAAAAATGTTCTTCAAATTTACCTAATTTAATTTGTGCAATTACTGGAAAAGGTCCTTTAAAAGAATATTATAGTAAAATTATTGAAGAAAAAAATTGGAAATATGTGCAAATAGTTACTCCTTGGTTGGAAGCTGAAGATTATCCATTATTTATTGGTGAGTTATCTTTTTTCTTTATTATGTAACAAGTAACCTTATTATTACTAAAATTATTTTGAAAAAAAAATTTAATAGCTTATAAATTGTGATATAATTTTTTTAGGATCGGCAGACTTGGGTGTGTGTTTGCATAAATCATCTAGCGGATTAGATTTACCAATGAAAGTAGTCGACATGTTTGGTTGTTCTGTACCAGTGTGTGCTATAAATTTTAACTGGTGAGTTTTTATTTAAATAATTTTGCTTATAATATCTTAAATAATTGAAAAACTTCTTTTTTTTCACAAACTCTTATGTGATTATTTTAATTACAGTTTACCTGAGTTGGTAAAACATGAGTTAAATGGATTTATTTTCAATGATGCTTCAGAGCTTTTTACGCAAATTAAAAGTTGGTTTGAAGATTTTCCAAATTCAAACTCTCCAAAACAAAAATCAATTAAAGAAAATCTTTCAAATTCTGTTAAAAAATGGCATGATAATTGGAAATTGAATGTCCTTCCATTATTTTAATTTAGGAAAGTTTACTTAAATGATAAAATTTAATTAAAATATATAATTATGTCATCAAACTGAAAAATTATAATACAGAGCTGAGTTTATTAGTAAATATGAGAGTAATATTGTCAGTAAACTGGATAAATAAATGAATGAGAAAGGTAAACAAATAATTAAAAGCTTATTATTATTTATTTTTTTATTTAATCACAATAATTTCATATTTCATCGTTAAGATAACAAACACTAATTTAGTTTTGCTCACTTATAAAAATGAAAAAACCGACTTACTGCTACAATTGTGTGAACACACTTCTAGTTAAAATTAAATAATTAATAACATTTTATTATAAACTCTTCTTTAAGATAAATTAAAAAGTGACACCTCTATGAGTTTTAATTCAAAGTTTTTTAAGAAGTGATTTTCCTTTTGGCTTAAGTTTATTATCTAATATTTTTTGCTTACGATTTTCAATTTCTTTTTGTTTTTCATAATAATTTTTCAAACCGACATCTAATTCATTGCTTAACCTAGAAATTTTTTCCTGAAATGAAAAAATTTTAAAATTAATAAGTAAATTTTTAATCATCATCAAATAAAAAACTTACACATATTTGCTTCTCCCTTTCTAACAATTGTACTTTTCTCCAACTAAGAATAATAGGTCTTCCATCGACAAAAGAATAGTCGGGGAGTTTTGTTAATGGAGAGTAAGATGTAGTATTTTGTTCAAGCCCATTTCTGATAAGATACATAAAAACTTGATTAAATTATAATTATTAATATTATTTTTTCTTTTAAACAAACTTACTGTAGTCTCCATTTATTTTGAATACAAGTAGAAGTAGAAAAACTTTGTTTACAGTGTTTTGGAATTTTACTACCTAAAATTTTCAAACAGTAAATAAGAATTTTTAAACAATAAAATTTAAATAAATAAAAATTTAGTAAATAATTATTAACCAATTATGTTAAAAGTACGACTAGCCGCCATTTACAAAAATAATAATTTTATAGTTTATTATAAATCTATAATTAACGAGATAATATTATAAATATTTAACTGATGAGAAATTATAACAAAAATAAAAAAATATGCAAGACATTAGGAAATGCTTTAACAATTTTGTAAAATTTTAATTTAAGTTTTGAACGCTAGATGTCTCTGTTAATTTTTAAATATATATATGTAAATATAATGTATATCTAGGAGGTCTATTTGTTATAATGAAGGTTTATAATGAGTGAGTGGATTATTGGAGTGCTTACATTAGTTATTTCATTATTACTTACTTTATTATTTGTCGGCTTTGGTAAGCTGGAAATTTTCTATTTAGATTTTTTTTTAAAAAATATTTTACGTAAATTTCGAAAAAATTTAAAAATATCTTTTATTTTTCGCCTTCGCTTCATTTATACTTTTATATAATTTTTTTTAAAATAGATTTTTAAATTTAATAAAGTTTTACTGCTTCAGTAAAAAGGTTATTTTATTCATTTCGATATTTTAGGTTGGTATTTAATTTGGAAATATTTACTCTCACGATTTTGGTTTGTTAGAGTTTTATTCGGATATTCCGTTGAATCCGAAGGAGAAAAATCTACCCCTAAAATTAACAAGACTAGGCCTAAAAGACTTCGAACTATTAATTGATTAATAATATCTCCTAGTCATGAATATCAGATGCGCTAGACCTGAAGATCTGATGAACATGCAACATTGCAATTTACTATGCCTTCCAGAAAATTATCAAATGAAATATTATTTTTACCATGGCTTATCATGGCCTCAGTTATCTTATGTAGCAGAAGATGAAAAAGGTCAGATTGTAGGATATGTTTTAGCCAAAATGGAAGAAGACAGTGATGATAATCCTCATGGACATATAACTTCATTAGCTGTAAAGAGGTCCCATAGACGATTAGGTTTAGCACAAAAACTAATGGACCAAGTAAATAAATAGCAATCAGTTTAAATATTTCATAAAATTATGAGTTTGACACTTTAAAAGAACTCATTGACAATTGTTAAAATTAATTTATTACAGGCATCTCAAGCCATGGTTGAATGTTTTAATGCAAAATATGTTTCACTTCATGTTAGAAAAAGTAATCGTGCTGCTCTTAATTTGTATACCAACACCTTACAATTTAGCATATCAGAAATTGAACCAAAATACTATGCAGATGGAGAGGATGCTTATGCAATGAAAAGGGATCTTAAATCATTTGCAAAAAAAAGTGAAAGTCCGAGTACAGCTGATAAAACATAACTTTTTTACCGCATAATTTATTATTAAACATTTTTTTTTTCTGATGTAAGGTTTGTAAATTTTTTTTTCACCCTTTCCTTTTAATTAAAATCAATTATAATTCTAAATTAGTAAGTATTTTTAATAATGCTATAAAGTGTTAGAGTATTTTAAATTTGTTTGAAAAAGGAAAAAAAAAAAAACTGTGATTCTGACATTCGATTTTTTGGTATTGCCAAAAATACTGAAAAGCTTTTTTTAAAATTTTTGACTTGAACTAAACTGTTATGTTATCAGTTCAAATGTTGTTATCATGCTTATTTATGTATTTATTTTCACTTTTTATTTAATTTATATAAAAATCTTAAAGTAGCACTGCAAATCAATGTTTCAGAAATAATTAACCTGGGTAAATTATTTAAAAATTGGATAATATTTATGTTTCACTTGCTTTAAATGATTATCGTCGCACTCATTATAAAAATTTTTATTCATTTTTAAGGTAATGTAAATTTCTAATAAATATACATATACTATTTATAACAATTTTTTCAATTCATGTTTTCATACAATATTATGATAACTTTCATAATAACATGAATTACTCATTGTTATCCTACATAATATTCATTGTTTATTATCATGAATCATTAACATAAATTGACCGATTGTTTAAAAAAAAATACTTTGTCCTTAAAAAGTGAATAAGTAAAAATTCATTGCATAAATTATGGTTGTTTGTAGCTTTGATTCAATACAAGAAATAAAACGAGTACAAATTTTTTTTTTGTAAACTTGTTTATTTGTTGCTAAGGAACATTACTAAACATATTCAAATAAACAAATAATAATAATAATATTGAACATAAATAAATTCCATTAAAGAGTAATGGTGCGAAGTTAGTAGTAGTATTAATATAATGTTAGTAATTAAAAAAAAAAAAATAATTAATTTAACTAATTATTAATTTAAATTTTAGTAACTGAAGATTTAGTTAGAAAAAAATCAGAGCATAATGAATGTGAAATATGTACACTAGA